CTCGCTGTCGTCCCAACACAGACAGTCGGACTCCTTGACAATATAGAGGTGAGCATATATACAGTTTTTGACAACAATGGACAGGCGAACACTCAACAATGGACAAATAGAGAAACAATAGCACTTCCTTGAACCAGTTGATGTGATGGCAGTGGGATTACCAACTAAGCTTATAAATGTCACATACAGTAATTATTGAAAGTGACAGAGTGGTACAGGGTGGCTGACAAGACAATGCAGTAATAAGGATTAAACATTCAGATTAAATAATTACAATTAAGTCTCACATGGCTTGGCTACATAGTTTCTGAAGAATCGTGTCAATTATTATGGATATACAATGTCTTATGAGTCCTGTGAATTACGTTGACAGATGAACAGACGCAGGAGACCTGCAGCGAGTCACTGAAGCTTCAGATCGATCTCGCTGTTGAATACTTTCATGACTCCTCTTGCTCAGTCGACATCATTGTATCCCTGTTTAGCATGGATAAAAACATAACGATCGTATCACAATACGGACACCATTGGAATACTGTTATGAAGACGAACTACATCGACATTACACGATTCTATATAACAAAACTGAAATCAGTGGGGAAAGATTAAAATACAATCATGACCAGAATAGAACCGTAAAGTACATTTGCCATTTTTGTTGTCATAAATGTAGCAGGCTTTATCTCTTGTGATGTTTCGGAGTGGACATTTGTACAAGATGGCGATCCAATGCTTGCATTCAGGCCTTGAACAGCGATTAATACTGAACTTGTCAGAGTCAAGTTATTCAGATACAACAACAACATATTCGTCTCATGTACCAGCTATGTGTCGCTGTTGTCAACTCTAATGGTGGAACCACTTGATGTTCACTCCAGTCAGACTTGTGCAAGGCCAGCATAACAACGAACTGCCGTCGCTACTTTCACATTGACTCGATGTAGTGATGGATGGAGGGACGGTGGGGGTAGCCTAGTAGTTAAAGCGTTCGCTCGTCACGCCGAAGACCCCGGGTTCGATTCACCACATAGGTACAATGTGCTGGTGTTCCCCCCATGATACTACTGGAATATTGATAAAGCAAGGTGAAACCAAACTCGCTCTATCTCTCACTCTGTGATGGTGCTATGAAATACAAAACTTCCATGTAGGAATGTTATCAACAAAACGCCATCGAAATTATTAACGGTTCCCTTTTCACTCTCCTTTTGTAATTAATATGAGTATGTCTTCTATGGCAATCATATATATCTGTGCAACCATTATGATTTGGGTTCAACCATTCCTGTAGTATTGCAATGAGATGAGTGTGTCAAGTTGAGTGTCTTTGTTTAAGGATTGATTTCATAATAATACTTTCGATATTGTAGTCAGATGTATTATCTTGTCATCTATGTATTGCAGTGGGCAGTTGTGATGCATCGTTACATTACTTTCTCCGAACTAATAAGTACTACAACGTCCATGGCTAGGGTATCCCCATGTGTGGAATAAGGAGCCGTGGGATTTGCTATAAGCTCTTAGGGAGATGTGCCATATAATGCGTCTGAATGTGTCATCCCGACCTGAGTGAATGATGAAGTATGTTAGCCACCAGGATTAAGCATGATTGCATACTTCTTGATAAAACAATAAGCATTCACGTCAGTGTCACATTCCAAAGTCCAAGAAACATGCGAGTCACATGTTGAGGACTACAGTAGTTATGCCACGAGGTAGTCTAGACAGGAAACATTTTCTATCCTCTCCCTCCAACTTATACGCATTTCCGTATTATGTTTAGCACTCTTCTTGATTACACGACTTTCGGTTCCAGGGGATTTAGTCTAACCTCGAATAACTGCTAGATCCGCTTTTATGAGAAAGAGTCAGATCTGAACAGCTGAGCCCAAACCAGAGGGATACTCACATAATATGTCATTTGTAATTCTGAAAAATGGGTTTGATGCTGGCCATATACAATCCTCCATCTTTCAACCCATTTCAGCGTGTGTTTTCCTCTATCATTTCTCTGTGAAACTGTGTTCCATTTTAATCACTAGTCAAGTCCTAACTTGTGGATAAATGGTTTGAATGACAGGAGGTCAACTGACGTCTTTACTTTTGGCACAATACGATTTAACATGAAATAGAAAAGTTAGTTGAATCGTTGAAAGGAGAGAAGAAGAAAGTGTCTAAAGCCACGTGATAGATCAATAGATATTCTTGTTCAGTTTCAACTGGACTCATGAATTTGGAGGTATTATCAGTGCGATTCACCATTCTCAAATACACATTGAGAGGACAGTGTAAAACACGCTGAGTCAGCAAGATGGTAATTGAAAAGTCGATTGAGTCTTGTTGGCGTGAAATTCGTGAAATACAATATGTATTCCTTTATTTGGCCTTTCAGTATATAACATACAAAGGAAGTAACTGGTGTAATCCGATACTGCAGTTGAAACGGGTCAGCTTCAATCCGAACAATCAAGGAACATTTAATTCAATAAAGTTTGTTGATAGGTGTAAATTGGCTTTTCTGGCTATCAAATGTACATTAGGTTTCTACACATATATAAACCTCATTAAGGAGACTTGATAAGGATAGACACTACTGGGCGAAAACAAAAGTGTACACATGAAAACTGGAACAAATACTTACACACGTTATCTGAACCTGTTTAGGTTGAAAACGGCTGCGGAAATACGGCAAACGTAAGGTTCAAAACACAAACAATGACACACTAATCAATCGACATGCTCATGCAAGACAATTAAACATTGCAACAATGACAATTAAACACTGTGACTATAACAATTAAACGTTGTAACAATGACAATTAAACTATGTAACAATGACAATTAAACAATGTAACGATGACAATTAAACATTCTGACAATGACAATTAAACATTCTGACAATGACAATAAAACATTGTAACACGAAATTGTTGGCTGAAGAACAATCATAACCATAAGGTTTACAGAGCAGAAATTAGAGAATAGAAAGCGCCTTTGAATGAAATAGATTAATACATGTACAATTTATTAAAATGTCGGAATAATACGTTGTGTCGTCAGAAAAAACAATGCATAATACATGCATGTATAACACGAGACCACAACTAAGGTCAAAGTATGTAATTGACACAAAATGTAGTCAAGGCTCAAGGCAAGTAAGCAATAGTCACCTGTAACGTTAATGGAATAGTGCCTACTGTTTCTCAATTATTTAGAAAGGATTTAACAGTCATTAGTGGGATTTTTTTTATAGTTGTGTGCATCTTTGTACAGTCACTTAAACTTTTAGAAAATTAAATCCATTTTCACAGATGTTCCTGTTCTCGAGGCCCCAGAGTTAGCGAAACCTAACTGACTATAGATCCTGGTGATATTGTGAAGCAGCTGTTCTGTGTCAGGTAGATGCATCAGGGATCATCCTGTTTGGTATTTGTAAAGGAAAATTCACAAACATCGGGGAAATGATTCCACCACTGCAAAGGAAGCTCCAATCATCTCCAATATTCTGAATGAATATGATTAAATGTCGCTCGAAAAGTTTTATGATTTATGATTAAGTACCTTTCATGATCATAACCAAGAAAGATTTCCTTAATGTTAACTGCAGATGACGTAATACCTTGTAATTTTAGCTGGTAGTTGGCACTGTGAATGTGTTTGTCTCAAATCTTTACATATATTTAACTCAATGGGTGTCATCTATAGAAGGAAAACCACGCAGAAATGGGTCAAAAGACGGAGAATGGTATATGACCAGTATCAAAGCCATTATCTAGCATTACATATTAGGTACTTATGAATGTATCCCTTTGGTTTGGGCACCGCTGTTTAGATCTACATCACCATCTCATGAAAGCGGATTCCAGGTTAGAATACTTCCTAACAACATGCAAAAGCTGTGCAACTGTTCACATAGTAAATGTATAGACTAAAGCTAAAATAAAGTGAAAAGCAGCTTTCTCTTTAGACTGTAGTTTTGTTTCATTTAATCATTAATCCAAAATGACCATACTAACAAGCTTTCCCCGCACTGAATAACTTGTTTGAATGGTATTTAGAACCTAGAGAAGAAGTTCATCCACTCATCTAACCATCTCACCTTGCTTATGAGATGTAGAGATAATCATCTCAACCCTGAAAGCCTTAGACTAACAAGTCCAGTCCACTCACCAACAGCCAGCAACATCCTCAAGAAAGCAGCCTACTTGTCCGATAGAGAATTCAACACCATCGCAAGACCAAGGCCCTCACCTTAACCAACACCATAGAACACCAACTCCAAAACATCCTCCATCCTGAGAACTACTTTTAAAAGCGCCACTTCCAGACAAAAGCAAACCAGAATCTAGACGCCCCAACAAAGAAGACCCACATCACAAAATTTGACAAGCTCAGGCCACCAACCAGCACCCGAGCCTCTCCATCTAGAAACGAATACCTAAAGAAAACTGTGATCAAACTAAGCAGCATCAATCGCTCTGAAGAAGGCTTGATAACGGGGTTAGTAGCGGTGTATTCTCTGTTTGCCCGCACTTTAATTGGCTTTAAGCGGATTAGGATTAACAGTCCAGTCCCTGCACAAGTAGAGTTCACTACCGGCGGTGTCCTCCCATTAGCCAACCGTCCCACTAGTTGACTGCACCAACAACTACCTTTGTAATACCTTTGTAATAAAATGGAATGATCCAAGAACAAAAATACAGCTTCACATCAGTGAACTTTAATGATCTGTCTTCAGCAAAGCATACATGTTAAAATGGTGACATATTGAATAGACACTTGAATAAAAATTCTTCTTCTGTTTTCAGCAAAGTATACATACATAATCTGTACACTTAAAATGTAAATGCTTAACAATATATATTATTATATATATATATGTCTTTTCTTAGCACTTATAGTGCGTTTAACATATTGTAAGCACTGGACACTTGAATAAAAAACATTCTTCTGTCTTCAGCATTATTATAACTTAAATTACTTAAATTCACAGTTCGCGATTAATGGTCAGTTGGGTAGAGGTAGCCAACAGCATCCAGAAATTGAACAGAGTTTTTCTGACCTGACTCAAGTTGATCCCACAATCGGACAAGTCTGTTTTCTTTTTCACGATACACTCGCTTTCTTCCCTGGATGGCAGCACCGAAGTTGATTTGGCGCATCTTGGCAGATTCAGACTTCTCAATCTGCTTGAGCAGCTCTACAAAGCGATAGATGTTTGGATGATGGTGTGTCAGAGTCTTGTTCATACGGTAGTGGAAGCCTTCAAGATTATTATTCGTTCGAGGCCCAACGTTGCGGTGGTGATTCCATAGAGGGATGGGGAATCTTGCATCATCATCAACCCAAGTTGTCACAATGTAGTTAAATCTCTGGACGTTGTCTACTTCTGGCGTACTGTCCATGGCGTCGACCCAGGCATCTTGCACATCACCTTCTGGTAACAGTGCCAGGGATGATGCTCTTCTGACCCAGAGTCTGGACAGCAAGCCCCAGGTCTTGTACTTTCTTCCAATTTGTAGAATTCTTGTTGTGAAGGTAACCTTCAAACGGTACCTGTTGTGTACCTCGCCTAGAGGTGACGTATTCCACTTCAATCAATCCTGCCATGATAAGAAGAGTGATATGCTAGAGTCTATAACATGGATTGTGAATGTGATTATTATGCCATGTGAAACAAATTATACAATTGTATGTATTTATGTATAATGCACAGTGCACATAAATATTTATTTCCTGGTGTGACATTTAACGGTTATTTTGTGTATTTGCTGATTTAAAATTTCATCATATTTGTCAGATAATTAATTTTCGTATATTTGTATATATGCAATATTGTGCATGCATATTATGTTACATCCAATATTTTCAAATGACTCATATTCGTACATTTGCGGGTGCTATATACAATAAACAAAATGTGATAAACTTTACTGTTTACCAGTAAGTGCTGGCATACTTACATTTCTACTACAGACCATAACTTTAATCCCCATTGTTGTAAGGATTAGTACGGTCCAGTAATTTTAATCCCTAAACAATATGTGTAGGCAAAAAGAGAACACCCCGTTAGTAGCTACACCGAAACGTCACTCATATTATATTAAAGAAGTTGTATATCCACAGAACTCTCCTCGTTGCCCGCACTGAATGTGATTATAGACCCTCGATGTGTACTCGTGTACACATGCATTATATAACTACATAATATGCATATGTTGTGCACCCTTAAAAACAAGCTTAAATTTTCGATTCTGTTGCATGTTGACTTTTTAATGACATTTACCTTGACAACAAACAAATCGTCCAGTCTAAATCCCGTGAACTGTGTCACTCGACAGAAGCTTATCTGTGACGTAAACATGTACTGTGTTAACTACGGTGTTGGGGCACCTTGTCATATGATCCAGGCTCAGTTCGAGGGGCGGTGTCGAAGCCTAGTGGTTAATACCCGGGTTCCATTCCCCGCATGTGTGAAGCCCATTTCTGCTGTCCCCGTCGTTATATCACTGGAATATTGCTAAAAGAGTCGTAAAACCTTACTCACTCACTCATTCGATGCTCAACCGAGTGTTTAATCATTGGTCGAATCACGCAAGGATCCTGGTAATAAGTCACTTGCAGAAGCGTGTACACATTTACCAAACATATCATGTCGCCAGCCTGGTGATGCTTGTTTCCATAAAGGAAGGAAAGTCTTGTTCTGTGAGGTTAAAGAACGTCTGTATTTTTTTGGAAACGATTGGAAACTCTCTTTTAATTTCGAGAAAACAAATATTGTAATCTTCAGAAGAGTCGGTCCCGTCGCTTCAAAAGAGAAATGGTTTTTCAATGGCAAATTACTGACTATCGCTAATCACTATAATTATCTTGGTTTTATGTTTTCTCTGAGAGGGTACGTAAGTCCCAAAACTGTCAAAGTCAATTTAAACGTACCAGGATATTTAAACTTAGTATTCTTGTTGTTTTAATTTTGGCTAACATTTCTTACAATCGCCAGCAGCTGAAGGGATTGTGTAAATCCAACATGGGTCCATGCAGGTAGCAAAGGTACTGTAAGTCCCCATAGTCCCTAGTATGGTGATCTACCTTCAGTTGTTGGCGATCTATAGCCCGTGTTTTATATTGTATTGTCTTCTTTAATTAAAATCTTTTAGTTTGACATGCTAGTTTTAAATTCTAATCTGTGATAATCTAGTTATTTTACTGTCCTTCCTTGACAGGTTTTTACAATTTACCATTACTTACTATGTATACAATTAATTGTTCTTGTCACGATATGGCTGAAATATTGCCGATGTGACGATAAATCGTAACTCACTCACTCATTATGTTTTCTCACACGATGAATTTTTAAAAAAGTGTTCTTGATTTGCAGTCACGTGCAAAGAAGGCTTTCATAAATGTTATGTCTGTTTCTCAGTATATATGTACCTTCACTCCAAACATATTTTTCAAACTGTTTGATTCACAAATTCAACCGATTATGTTTTATGGGTCAGAAGTTTGGGGGTTTCAGCGTCAAGAATGTCTTGCTGGTAAAAGATTTCTAAATGTTGGACAAGCAACGCAATATTGTATGGTTTATGGGGAATGTGGGAGATATCCAGTTTATATAAATTCACAAATCAGATGTTTAAAGTACTGGCTTAGGATTCTGGAAACACATGAACAACGAATGCCTAAAATAGCTTATAATATGCGTGTTCATCTCGATAACATGGGCAAGACACCTTGGGCTTCACATATTAGAAATCTTTTATTTTCTCATGGCTTTGGGTTTGCATGGTTAAATCAGACAGTGGGTAATGTAACTCTTTTTCTTAAACGTTTCCGAGAACAGTCAGTTAATATGTTCCATCAAGAATGCCATTCGACTCTCGAAAATAGTTCAAGGTATGATATATATAAGTCCTTTAAGAGCCTTATCCAACCAGAAATATATTTACCTGTATTGACATCAAGAAATATCAGACGCACATTTGTTCAGCTCCGACTAGGTCTATTAGATTTAAGTATTAATAAAGGTAGAACATTGTCTGTAGAAAGAAATATGAGAATTTGTCCATTATGCACTTCATCTATTGAAGATGAAATTCATTTTATATGTGTATGTCCATATTATGATGATCTTATATTTCAAGTAATTATCTATCAAAATATCCAACAATAGCCTTTATCTCTATTCTCACTTCCAGAAATGAAACTGCTATCCGTAACCTTTCTCTATTTGTAAAAAGGTTGTTGTCCTGAGAAATAATAGGTTATCCAAGTAATTTCATCATTGCCATTGTATTATGTACTGTAGTTATGTATATGTATGTAACGCCTTGTATATGGGCCGGAGGCCTTGAATACAATAAACTTGATTTGACTTGACTTGACCAGACTTGACTACAAATGCTATTACACAACTGAAGAATTTCAAGCGAACGGCAACACTAAATGTCGTTTGACTTCCTTCTGAGGAATGTGTCGCTTTACATTCGCATCGCAGCATGTTGGTTCGACTGTGTATTCTCCTGGATATTGTAGTCAGTGGTATTCTCGCTTTGCTCTGTCACCACAATTATTAGCTTGGACACCACGTAATCCAACATGCTGTGCTTGTTGTAAACAGTCGCCTTGTTCCAGTTGCAAAGACATGTCTATTATAATGTCTGGTCTAGATTACCCAGTTATTAGCCAGGATTCCACCGGATACGATGGCACCATTCACAGAACCTGACGACCTCGCCACCAGCGATCTGTTCAGACTAATGATCCGTTCACACGTTGCAACTCGTTTGTTACATGTTGCATACAACAAGTTGCACGTCTTGAGTTGCATGCAACATGCGTTCACACACAGGCCAAGATGTATACAATTTTCGGTATCGTGAGATGTCGTTTTACAAGTTGCTTAGCAACGCACTGTAGCATAGTCATGGCGTCCATATACAACAGGGATAGTGATGACGCTGTACTGGAAGCGGCGGTTGTCGCAATGTTCGTTGATTTTAACCATGGCAAAGCCGATCGTTCGTGCTGGGTCCGTCCCTGGATTGCAAGACGAAGTGATCTAGGAGCTTATAGAGCTTTAATGAGGGAACTTGAAGCTGAGGACACAAAAAGTTTTGTCATTTTTTTACGCATGGGCAGAGAGCGTTTTGATCAACTGCTGGGCAGAGTGTCACCGATGATAACCAAAGCACAGATCACCTCCTGTTTGTCGATCAGCTGTTTTGTGTTTATCAATAAGCAATCTATAAATAAACCGACCACTCCTGATTGCGTTAACACCTAATGTTTGAGCGCAAAGCTGCTGTCCCTAACCCTGTACAGAGTTGAGTGAGGCTCCCGAAGGTGTACCACATACGCTCAATAACGTTTTGATTATTCAAAATGTTTTAAATATTTGACAATATTAGTAGTGAAAAAAGTTTGCTGACACAGAATTTGTAAACTATTTCAAACCTGAATTTAATAACAACTTGTTCCATTTATTGCCAGGACAATTATAGGTATTATAAAATCCTATTATTAGTTTTATAAAATGGAACAAAGCGCCAATGAAATCAACTTTTATTTGGTATATATCAATTTATTTATTTGTTTATTTTCTACCCATTAATTTTTAGATAACAGTAATAAATGGATAAATTGTAAATGTTTGAAGTTTATAAGATACAACTAGATAATTACACATGTACAGAATGAATCATCTGTGTTTTTTTATTTAGGTGACAGTTACAAGTCTCTAGAATTCTTGTATCTGTTTGCAAAGAATGCAATTTGCAAGTTCGTCCCTCAAGTGTGTGTGGCAATTTATGAAACACTCAAGGACTTTCTGAAGGTAAGGTGCATGTCAACACTTGAATTCTTGATATTTTTCCCCATGTTTAGAAGATGACTAAATTAATCAAAAAGCTGTAATGAAACACAATATGTATTTATTTATGGGTTTAACTTTTGTAATTCTGTGTAAACATTGTTATTATAACGTCATGAGGTTTTTTTCAGATGTCCAAGCATTAAGAAGAAAACCAATAAATCCCATGTGATTTATCGAAACAATAATATTTATACTCATCATCTCAAATCACTCTTGTGTAAAACATAATATTATATAACTTAAGTTTATCACCAGTAGGGCTTTGTAATGAATGGGTTTGCTTCACTTGGTGTAAAAATCTACATAAATTACTGAAACAAACCTAACACACTCCCAATGATATTTGAACACCACTCGCACTGAAGTACAACAGAAAAGCCTTAATAATATGAATTATAATTTATTATTTAAACTTGCTGACAAATTTCTTGGGAATGAGCTTTGCAGCTGACCTTAAATAGTTTTTCTTCTGTGCATATATTAGGATTTCAAGTCAAGCTTCATATAAATATCTCAAGCAGTTATCTTATC